TGCTGGGACAATTGGGTCTGGGGGTATCACCTTGATGAGAGGGGAGAAGCAGAGCCAGGAGGGAGACTCTAAATCTTCACACAGAGGAAAGCACCCTTTGCATTCTGTTCTGTAATAGATCCTGATTTTGCAAGGAGATACTCTACAAAATCAGGACCTATGTCCCTGCAGACTTGGGTCTCAAAACTGATAAAGACGGATAGGTAGGTAGGTAGATAGACAGCCTTTCACTGAGAGGTTTGGAGAGGAAGCAATGGGACAGTAAGCATTTTAATACAAACTTTATGAAAATTTTTCAGAGAAAAAATAAGAAATCCACACACAAAAAACGTCCCCTGTGCACTGCCCCCTCCCCAGTCTGATTGAAAATATAAAATAAAAAGGTGCAAAAGTCATCCTGCAACGTTCAGCTTCCCTTTAGCTCAGAAACTAGACTGTCTGTATTTACACTTGGTGGATCATTGTCTCTGTTTCTATGGTTTTATCTAAGATTGAAAGAGGCAAAAGAACCTGAGAATAGTAATTAATGACCCGGAGCAATAAATACAACTTACACAATGAGGGCTCAGCCCACGGTTTCCTGCTGTCTTGTCTCAGAGGAACACATGAGCTCAGTCCACCCTGATGGCTCTTTACCCAGCCCTGTGTACGAAAGGAATTTTACGTCTGTGCACATCTGGGACCTGAGCACAAAGCTGAGCCTTACCTAGTGGGTTGGTTAAAGGAGTTACCAAGGCGGTGGTGAAATCCCTATGAGAAAAAGAATAACATTTCTGGATTTTGCCACTAAATGTGAGTCCACAACAGGGTTAACAGTAAGAGGTAAAGTCTTGTGAGATCTCAGGAGTACAGAGTTTCTCAGCCTCAGCACTATCTATATTTTGGGCTAGACAATTCTTCATTGGGAGGAATGTCCCATGCATTATAGGATGTATAGTAGCATCCCCAGCTTCTACCCACTGGATGCCAATAGCACCCTCCAGTTGTGACAACCAAAAGTGGCTCCAGACATTACAAAATTCCACCCTTACCTCACCCCCCAACCCCAGTAAAGAACCACCACTCTTAACTGAGGTTAAGAGCAAGGACTCTGGAGTCAGACTGTCTTGATT